GGTGTAAGGTGGCTTGGAAGGCGAGATGTCTAGCGTCCAACAAGGAAGGAGACAGTGCCTGACGTGTTGACCGGGTACCGGGCTACGGTGAATGACGAGTGGGCCCAAGTGGCCAGAGTCGGCGCTGTGCCGCTGAAACGGTGTAACGAAACCAATGAGGTTATTCCAAAACTCTAAAACTTGAGTTCTCGCGGGCTTTAGCCGCGCTGAACTTCCCCTTAATTCCTCTCAAATTCCTACTAAATCCTACCCAGTTATTGCTTTGATTACCCCTAATTCCACTCAGCTACGACCTTTGTTCGTCACAATTAGTACTCAGAGCAGGCTGATTTCTCGCCAAAATTTGACCGTCGTCATGGTGATTCGCTATGGCACCGAAAAAGAAGCCGATGAAGGTTGAAGTTCGCATGGCGGCAAGTGCGGAAGCTAGCACCAAGCAGTTCCAGGGCATTGAGTCATCGATGGGAGTTTGCACCACTATCTTATTTAAGTTTCCGCATTTAATTTTTGTACCTAGATTGTGTGCGCTTACATTTCTTATTTAGCTTGTTATGCTAGTTTCTTATATAGCTCTAGTTTGGTTTTTGAATTGTCTAATGAGTTCATCAAGTGATTATGAGATAGGTAGCACACTTCAAGTAAGGCAAATGGCATAACATGACAATGGTGATAGCATGGAGATGATCAAGGGTCTTGAAGAGAAGCGTCCAACAAGCTCAAGGCAAAGGTATAAACCATAGGAGCTATTTTGTTTTGGTGATCAAGACACTTAGAGAGTGTGATCACATTTAGGTTTGATAGCCGTACTATTAAGAGGGTGAAATGACGAATGCGGTTATCAAAGTGCCCTAGATGCTCTAACTCATTGCATATGCATTTAGGATCTAGTGGAGTGCTAACACCCTTGATAATATTTGTGAAAATATGCTAACACATGTGCACAAGGCGCTTTCGGAAAATGAAATGTCTATTTTCTATTGCACGGATGCAAAATTCTTGGTGGTTGGCACACTTGAGCAAGGGTGAAGAAGTAAGAGTTGAAATGGATCGAAATGATGAGGTTATTCCAAAACTCTAAAACTTGAGTTCTGATTTCGGGCTTTACTTGTCTGCGTCGGATCAAGTGGGTGAACGTCCCTCAAAAAAAATTCCTCTCAAATTCCTACTAAATCCTACCGTTGAGTTATTGCTTTGATTACCGGACCCTAATTCCGGTCTCAGCGGCCGTAACGCGCCTTGATGAAGGGGTATAACGGTTTCTATTTTATTTTAGCCCCATGGCCGGCTCAAGGGATAACTTAGTATTTTCATTGAGCCTAGCCAAAGGCTGATTCATTGATTCATCATCATAGTGAGATTGGGAGTGAATCCAAGTGCATTGCTTGAGTGATTGCATCTAGAGGCATGGTGATTGTGTTTCGCTTGTTATCTTGGTGGCTTGGAGCAGCAAGGATCGTTGAGTGGAGGAGGTGAGACTCCGATCGTGGTGATTGTGAGGGGTTCTTGAACGGGCGCCAAAAGGTACTCTAGTAAATTGCTTGTGGCTTGTGTGATCCTCATCTTGTGTTGGTTGTGCGGCACCCTATTGAGGGTTGAAGAGTGATGCCAATTAGCGTGAACCTCCAAGTGAGTGAATCGCCACAACGAGGACTATGCGGAAGTAAGTGAACCTCGTAAAAATCATTGTGTTCATCATTTGATTCCGAGGTGATTGGTCATTGTTAGTCATCGTGATTGATTGGTTCATTCAGTATAACCCTCTTGATTGCACCTTTACTTTACCGTAAACTAGTTGACAAACTCTTTAGTTAGCTAGTGAGAGCTTGCATGCTTGGTTGGTGCATTTAGTTTTTGTACCTAGTCATTGCTCTTGTGTGAATTGACACTATCTAAACTAGAATTGTGGCTTACATTTTTTGTTTAGCTTGTTCATAATTGTCTAACCATTTGATAATGTATGATTGAAATTTTTTAGATTAGCCATTAGGACCTTTCAAACATATGTTACATAACTCTTTTGCAGTAGAGACGGCAACCACCTAGCAAAATCTTTATGTGAAATATAAAACGTATTGAGTTATCTAAATTAACACACATAATAATATGCCATAGATATCAAAATAAATAGTACATAAATCATTAATATTTTTATTATGAAGGGAATAACATTAACTTGTACTACATAAATAATGTATTAATAAAGAACATGTTTTAGTCTCCGTACAAACTTTAGATATTCATTGTCAAAAGTAAATGTTTTACTTAGGACATCTAATGGACTTTGAAAAATTATATTAGAAAAATATATTTCATATCTAACATAATTCTATCAATGTGACATCTAAATTTGAAGTTCCAACTATCATGCATGTTCAGTTTTTAACTTTCAGTTTTAAAACCATTAGTTGACGTGTCAAAACCATTCCACAAAAATGTCACGTGGGATGAAAACAAGGGGGAATTAATATAGGATTGTATTTCGTCCAGTTTCAATATATATAGTTAGCAAATGTCTGGTTTTATATTGAAAATTGGACTACTGTGATAGTTGAAGATTAAGAAATAAACTTTAACCTCACCACTACATGGTGAGCAAAGGGAATGTGTGCCTTGAATCAGGTAGCACGTTCGGTCCGTGCACAACGTTTTCGCTAGAAACTCTAAAAAAATGCGAGTGTTGTGTTAACCGCAACAAAATATAGACTGTGGACTTGTTTGGCTGCATTCATATTCACTTCAATTATATTACACCTCAATACACTTCAACATGTGGATTGAGATGAACAAAAGTGCACTTATATAAGCCATGAAATGAAAACCATGTGAAATGCTTAAATGTGTGCTTAAGGTATCCAAAATCTTATAAAAAACGTCCCTAGTCAAGATTCTTTCAGAAGATCGATGTTTCAAAGGATAAATTAGATTCGTTTTATGGGGCCATTTAGATAATAGACTAGATTGTGATTCACAAGAAAAAACATTTTCTTAAAAACATATAAGTAAAAATATGTTATTTTAAAAAAAAAATAGTGTACGATGAGCTAATTAAATATAATTCATTTTAATAACTTGTTGCATTAAAGAAGAATTATATAACTGAAAAAATATAATGGCTAGCACGTATGGAAGGCAAATAAATAAAAAAAAAATCCGAAGCGAAGCAATTTCCATGCGCTGCAACCACATTTGGAGTCGTTTATGCTGTTTTTGAATATGATTCTCACATCCAAACAGACCCAAGAGAAATCCGATTCCCACGTCTAAACGGGCCCAAGAGCCAAACCTAGCGAAGGACCAAATCACAAGCAGTAGTGCTAGTGCGAGCACGTCTAGACGGACACCCGCGCCTGCACTCCATCTCTGCATCCCGCACATGACTGCACGTGGGGAGCCCCGCTCGCACCCCCTCCGCTTCTCACGCGCATGCACACGGCCAGCAGCTGCAGCAGGCGACTACAGCATGTGGCTACTCTAGCGTCCAGAAGAGGGGAAGGGGTGGCGGCTGCCCAGCCAACGCCGAAGGGAGGAGGAGGAGGAGACGCCAAGGCGAAGGTGAGGCAGCAGAAAAGCGATGACATATATGCAACATCCGATCTACTTTTGAAATATCTGAATGCAACACTTGCAACGTATGTCTGAAGGCAGATGAAATACATGAAACATGCATCTGAAATACTAGCTGCAACACCAGATCTACTTTTAAAACATCCAAATAAAACATTTGCAACATACGTATGAAAACAACTGAAACACTCGAAACATGCGTATAAAACACTTGCAAAAAACACATAAAAACACTTTATATGTGTGAAACATATGCAACATCCAGAACACTTGCAAACATACGTCTTGGAAAAAGAGATGAAACATTTGGAATATAAACTTAAAACATACGTGTATAGCCACTGCATGTGCAACATTAAGATCTACTTTTGTAACATCAAGATGAAACACTTGCAACATCTAGATAAAGCATGTGAAACACTTGAAACATACTCTTACAATATGGGCTTCGCTTGGACGAATGGAGGCACGCCGGCGCGGAGGTTGATGGCGGCGCATGGAACTCGTTGTGCGGCAGCGGCACGAGCAACTCGCAGGCGGGCGTGGTGTCACATGAATCTCGTCCCCCTCGTCTGCTTGCTGGAGCATCCGTCGTGGAGGCTCGCCGGCTCGGTGGCGGCGGCCGCGGCTCTCTAGCTCGGTGGAGGCGGTTGCGGCGAGTGGGCCGGCCGCGGCGAGGAGGCAGCGCGGTGGAGGCGGGCGAGGCACACTGGGCCTGGTGGGGAATGCGACGCGGAGGAGGCCACAAGGGATGGAACATGGCGCGGTGCTGCGGGGGACCGGTGGCGGAGAGGCAGAGTGGAGTGGGCGGATGGGCATGGCGACGCTGAGAGGAAACGGCGCAGCGAGTATTGGGGGCGCGCGGATGAGACGAGTGGATAGGGTCGTTGGACGAGCGACGTGTGTGTAAGTGAGCGGAGGGATTTGTCCGTCCGTCCATACGTCTAAATTGTCGCCCTGTTAAATTGGTCGTCGTCGAATCGCAGGATGCCAGAAAGGGTGGTGTGACGGTGACCTCCAACAACCAGCGGAGGATGTGATACGTAGGAAGTAGCCCGCAACACATGGTGGTGAAGGAACGTGGAGCGGTGCAACCTCCTTCTAGTGTAAGTGTAACCCATCCGTTTCCAGCCCAAAAACACAACACGCCACAGCCTCCGCCGACGTCGTCCCTGACCGCGGCGAGGCAGCGACGGCTTTGTTCCTTTGCTTACCTTCTCGACGTCTCCAGTGCTCCTCTGAGTCAGAGGATCGGTGGAAGTACGTTAGTGAATCCCCAAGTCCTCACCCACCCGGCCGCTTACCAGTCATCACCCCCTCGCGCCAGGAGCAGTGTCTCTTCTGCAGTGCAGAGAGTGCAGACTGCAGTGGGAGAGGGCACGGCGCCGCCGCTCGTCAGCAGCTCAGCCGTACTCCGACGACTACGGGCGCACAGCATGCTGCCGCGGCTGCTCGTCTTCTTGCTCGCCGCCGTCATCGTCGTGCCAAGGAGTGCCTCTGCGATCACCCGGCGTGACTTCCCGGAGGGGTTCGTCTTCGGCGCAGGGTCCTCGGCTTTCCAGGTACCCCCACCCGTGGTCCTCCGAGTAGGATCTAGCGTTATACTACAGTTCCATGAGATTTCGTTGCTCCTCCAGATCCGCATACATGAAATCGACAATCACTAAGACCAAATATAGAAAAGAAATGTAGCTCACGTGCTGTTTCTGTCCTGAAAATCTATCAAAAGCAACCAAAAAGGTTACACAGGATTACAGAAAACACGAAGAAAAAACAGGATGGGAGGGGATGTTTCTGTCCTCTTCTTTTGCTTTTGCCGAACAACCTTATTTTTGTAGAATGGGTCAAGTAGTCCTGTATTAAAAAAAAGAATGGCCCGAGTAGTAATTTGTAATTATTATTACTCATAAAAAACTGTTTACTTCCTGGACTTTGGAGCTCAAGAGCTCAATTATTCTGAATACGTTAGGTGGAAGGGGCAGCTGCAGAGGATGGAAGAACACCCAGCATTTGGGACACCTTCACCCATGAAGGTGCATCGATCCAGATGATTTCTTCAGATAACTACTACTACTAATACACTTCGCACCTTTTTGAAGAACTGCTATGTTTGTGTTGGTCTTCAAATCATGCTCACAGATTGAAGGTTTTGAAATTTGTCTGTGGTGATAGGTTTTTCGTACGATGGGTCCACTGCAGATATTTCAGCAGATCAGTATCACCATTACAAGGTCCGTACACTATAGCGTTTTCAATTGTACAGTAGGCAGTAGCAGGTTCAGAGTTCTGATGAATATGCTAGCCTCAAAGGGAAGCATCAAAATTATTCTGTTGTCAGGAAGATGTGAAGCTTATGCATGAGATGGGTTTGGATGCTTACAGATTCTCCATTGCTTGGCCAAGGCTGATTCCAGGTAGGTAATACTCTAGTAGTAAGTTTTTTTTATTTACATAAAAAAATGCAATTCTGAATCTAAATGTATGTATTCCTGAAAATTTGTGATGTCACATTCTGTAGCCGGGAGAGGAAAGATCAACCCAAAAGGCTTGGAATACTACAACAATCTCATAGATGAACTGATACTGCACGGTAGGGCCATGCAACTGTTACTTGTCGTAAGACTGAAGTACTGACCCTGTGACCTCCATCATTTAACTTGCTGTCCTACCACTTCTTTATATTTTTCCCTGGCATCTCTGAACAAACTGGCTCCATTCTCTATAGGGATTCAGCCTCATGCCACCATCTACCATTTCGATCTTCCTCAGGTCCTTCAGGATGAATATGCCGGACTTCTCAGCTCCAGATTTATGTAAGTGCCGAGCGAGAAGCCAGCTCCAGGACACAAAAAAAAGTGCGCATATTTTGAGCTGAAAGCTGTTTCTACAATGTGTTGCAGAGAAGATTACCTTGCTTTTGCAGAAGTCTGCTTTAGGAGCTTCGGTGACAGGGTGAAGCACTGGGTCACCCTGAACGAGCCCAACATAGAGCCCATCGGCGCCTTTGACACGGGCACCGAGCCCCCACGGCGGTGCTCCTACCCCTTCGGTGAGAACTGCACCGGCGGGAACTCGTCGACGGAGCCGTACATTGCCGCGCACCACCTCCTCCTTGCACACGCCGCTGCAGTGTCCTTGTACAGAGACAAGTACAAGGTCTCTCTTCGAGAAACTCTTCAATCAATCTGTGGCTCCGTTGGTTTCGCTGAAATTTGACATATGCTGACTTGTCGCGAGAAAAACACTGTTTGTTCGTTAAAAAATACTGTCGAAGTAGTGCTGCAGTGCACATAGAATTGATCAATCACTCTTCAGTGCAGGCAAGTCAGGGAGGCCAGATAGGGATCACTCTCCTGGGCTGGTGGCACGAGCCTGCCACCGACACGCCGCAGGACGCAGCTGCTGCAGCGAGGATGAATGACTTCCATATCGGATGGTCAGCATGCACATTAGAGCTTTATTGCAGTTTGTTATTACAGTACTGGAGCAGAATTCAGCAGCATATATACGACATGATATGAACACAGGTTCATGCATCCGTTGGTGTACGGAGACTACCCGCCGGTGATGAGGAGCAGGGTGGGCGATCGGCTGCCGGCATTATCCGCGGAGGACTCTGCGAAACTGCGCGGGTCCTTCGACTTCGTCGGCTTCAACCACTACCTCATCCTACGAGTCCGTTCGTCGCCCGAGAAGAAGAAGGATTCCGGACATAGATTGGGGGACTACTACGTTGATGCGGCCGTTCAGAGTACTGAATCCTGAACCATTACTAAGTCATTGCGCATCCATGCACGCACAGATCGATACGATGTAGTACTAGTGCAGTATCTGAAGTGGAACTTGCATTGCTGCATTACATACAGCTGAACCGTTTGTGTCTTAATTTGTGGCTCTCCTGATGCAGATCCACTTGTGGCCATTGCGGAGGTACGGTACTATGCAGAGGAAATTTGCAGCAGCTGAAGCACACCCTGACTTGTAACTGGTGAAGAAAATGTGACACCGACACTGATGGCACCCCTGATGGCATGTATGTAGGGCCGGATCGAATCTCCTCCGTGGGCGCTGGGGAAGCTGCTGGAGCACCTGAGGCTCAACTACGGGAACCCTCCGGTCATGATCCATGAAAACGGTAGGTTGTTGACACGTTGTTCTCAAGATAACATACGTCTGGCCCTAGTAAAGTAACATTTCCAGTACACTACTACTACTACTACTGTTGCTGTGAGTGACTGCATGATCGAGCTCTTGTGGCGTTTTCGTTGCGTGCACGCACGCACTGTTGCAGGACTAGGAGACGCCCCCGACACGCCGAGCGCGATCGAGTACGACGACGGGGCCAGGATCGAGTTCCTGCAGGACTACCTGGAGGTTCTGTACCTCTCCATACGGTGCGTGCAGTGCATTATATTCTCCCTTGTTGATTCATTTCGAATTCTAAGGACGTTACCGAATGAATTTGGCCGTGATGTGGATGCATGCATGCATACGTATGCAGGAACGGGTCGGACGCGCGGGGCTACTTCGTGTGGTCGTTCCTGGATGTGTTCGAGTTCATCTTCGCCTACAGGATGCGCTTCGGCCTGTGCGGCGTCGACATGAACGCCGAGGCGCGCACGCGCTACGTGCGGAGCTCCGCGCGCTGGTACGCCGGCTTCCTCCGCGGCGGCGAGCTCCGGCCGCCGCCAGCCGCCGCTCCCGACGACGTCAGGCCGTACGCCGCGTGACGTAATAAGGCCTCCCTCAAGCGACGACGGCGACAGCACATGCATTGTTGTTATCGTAGCACGCACGCCGAGGGCGGGTACGGTGGGAAATAATGAATGAATAAGAAGATTCGCGTGCAGAGAGACGCGCGCTGTTACGTTGCTGTCTGACGTAACTACTCCCTCTGTCCCAGTTTAATTGTCGTTTTCGGTTTTCGTGCCATAAGTTTGACTCGATTTGTAGAAAATACTAGCAACATTTGTATCTTCAAATAAATTTATTAAAAAACTAGATTCAAAGATCTTTCCGATGATATTAATTATATACCATAAATAATAATATTTTTTAATATATATTTTGTTAAAGTTGTTTCTCGGGAAGCGAGAACGACAGATATTCTGGAACGGAGGGAGTATACACGAGTGACCGAGGTCATTCGATCGATCGGGGATAAAACATAGTGATAGACGACGACATGCGTTTTTACTGTGTCTGATGGAGCTATACACTAATGTAAACGAACCATCAATCTGGTATCAGATGCAAGTAAAAACGAAGTAGTAGTACTGTAGTACTAGCTTAGAGTACAAATTGGGATTTTTGCTGCTGTTTTAAGTCACGAGTGAAGTCACGTTTTTTTGTCGGCGATGGCTTGACTATTCGTATCCTAGTTCAAAACCTAGCAGCAGGTACTAGCGGCAGGTAGTCGAAAGTGACGCTGAGGCAGGGGAATCTGTACTCCGTCTTCTAGATAGATTCTTCGGTGAATATAAGGCCTTGTTTAGATCACCTCTAAATTCTAAGTTTTTTCACTCTCTTTTCATCACATCAATTTTTGGACGTATGTATGGAGTATTAAATATAGGTAAAAAATAACTAATTACATAGTTTGGTTGTAAATCACGAGATGGATCTTTTGAGCCTAGTTAGTCCATGATCGGACAAAGTTTATCAAATACAAATAAAACATGCTACAATGTCCAGTTGCAAAAATTTACAATCTAAACAAGACCTAAGTGAAGTCTCGATCAGAAAGAAACAACAGCGAGGAGGGGGCTAGAAACGCCCGACCGAGCTGACTTCCTGTCTGTCTCTGGAAGAGACCGGGGGCGGCGCCACCTGCACTGCACAATCGCCCGGTTCCTGTTCAGTGTTGACACGTGGACGACGCTGGACGACAGCGACGGCTGAGCCGCTGAGGTCTGAGGCTCGATACACTTGCACGCGCGGGTACACGTACGTTTCATCCGCGCCGCCGATCGAGCAAAAGCGAGCGCCAAGGCGGCCGACGCGCGCACGAGTTGACGGACGGCAACGCAATGTACGATGTCGCCACGTGCAGAGCCGCTAATAACGAACCCGGGTGGGGCGGGCAGGAGCCAGGAGAGACCTCTCCGCGCGACGTCAGCGACTACGTCCGCGCCCCGGCCCACGCTCAAATATATAAAACCACACTGAGGCCGGCGAACAAACAGATAGGAGACCCACTGAGGCCGGCCGGAGCGCTGGACATAATGGGGAAGGCGCTCGGCTGTGCTGCTTTCCTTCTCTTGGCCGTGCTCGGCGGCGGCGGCGGGGCGGCGGCGGCGGCCTCTGCCGCGGACATCACCCGGGCCGACTTCCCCGCGGGGTTCGTCTTCGGCGTCGGCTCCTCGGCGTACCAGGTACGTCCGTGCCATGATTCAGACAGTAGTTGTTTCTTCTCTTGCCGTTTTTTCGCTGTTTTTGTGCCCCAAAAAAAACCACGATTGAGTATTTGAGTTCGTGGTTTCCATGGCGGATTAGATGTGTGCCTGCCGTCACGCCCCAATCTGGGATAAGGTTATCCAGTGCGGCGGAATCCTTGGTTGGTTGCTCGGAGCGTGGGTAGGCGTAGCAAACCAAATCTACCTGCTCTGCTGAATACATGTGTATATACGCGGACTAGTAGATGATTTGCGTCGATTTCACCACTGGTTGTCATATATACTGGGATAATGCATGCTTGGTCATCACGGGATTAGTTAGACCATATATAGCCGAAGGATTTGCTAGCTCTCGGATTTTGTTCACTGCTTCAATTTAGCTTAGAAATCATCTTGTTTTGAAGTTTGAACGAAGAAACAAGCGAATCATCACTGTCAACGTAAGGCGCGCCAAGGTCCGCATCCGCACATATGATGGTCATCACTTCACTTTTATTTTTATAGTCTAGGACATGCCGAGCGCACTCATTTGACTAACGAGGATTTTCTTAGCATATACTAATATACGATTTGACTGACCTTTTATCTCTACAACTGAGTTTTGTTTCTAGAATTAAGTTTTAAGTTGGTTTGGTTTTGTAAACTGCTTTTTTTTGTAATTGAGAAGTGATGTATCGTAAAGATGGTCTAGTTTTACGAGATGAAGTCGGATGTTCTTTCTCGAGTAGTTCCAGTCATGTGGTGGACCGGTGGACCTGAAGCAGGCATGCACAGGAATATATGATGTGTGTTCTGACTTCTGAACCAGTAACACTGTGGTTCACAGGCATTCTGCGTAGCTTTATTTAAGTCTATTTGTTAATCTACCCAGTTCTCAATCCTAAAATATAATTTTTTTGGCGAAGGGAAGGTCAAATTACCAACCGACTGATAACATTTTTAGAAAATATTCTTACTAGTTTCATATTTTTTCTAATTTAAATTAAAAAATAGAAAATCACCTTTAAAAACGCATAGAAGTGGCCAAATTCATCTGGTTTCGACAGCTGCAGGGACCGGTGCCCACTTGGAGTGAAAATTGGACTCGTATACAAGTTGAATGTTAGAAAATGGACTTTACCCTAGTTTTTAACGTATACCTTCGCTTTCAGATCGAGATCAAAGCACAGCCGGCGGTGCAGTTAAAGTCATTTATTCCATCTCTCTTAGTCTCATCAGGTCTCTAAATAAACTATATGCTGATTGCAAATGGCAACATGAGCTTATAATGCAACAAGAAGAGCCCATGCTCCTTCTAGAAGCGTAGAGCCGTAGACCCACTAGCTGCACTCTGACTGGGACACGCTTTTGTAATTTGTATTTGTACCAGAGCCGTACTCCCACAAGATACAAGTACGTGCGGCAGGCCTGCGCTGCGGGTGGTTGCTGCTCGCCCACTAGGAAGTCTCTTTTTCCATCGACAATAACAGTTTTGGGTCTTGTTTAGATGATGGTTGAGAATCAGTATTTGACACTGTAGCACTTTCGTTTGTATTTGATAATTATTGTTTAATCATGGCCTAACTAGGCTTAAAAGATTCGTCTCGTAATTTACAATCAAACTGTGTAATTAGATATTTTTTTATCTACATTTAATACTCCATGTATGTGTCCAAAGATTTGATGTGATGAAGAAAGAGTGAAAAAACTTAGAATCTAAACTAGGCCTCAGGAGTTTTACCAGCGGATAACAAGGACATGTTTGTCCATTGGATTTCACAAACGAAAGATGTCGTTTTCTTAGCACGTCACCCCCCATGGATTCCACAAACGATGTGTCATTTTCTTAGCACTTTTCCCCCTCCCGTCAGTTCAGCTACATGACAGCTGCCTGGCCGTAGCTGATTGCGTGGGTGCGTAGCCACAGGCCACCAGGCCGCACACGGTAACCAGGCTCTGTCACTGGCTCACTGCTATGTGTAGCTGTTGCCTCTACCCTCTCTGCTCTGTTACTTGCCAATTGCATTAGAAGAGTCGGGCTCTGTTACTTGCCAATTGCTTTAGAAGAGGACCGACTGTGGCTTGGTAATTCTCCATCTCAAATCTAAGTTCTAATTTAATGTTGAACTCATCCCGATCTAGTAGAAATTCCATGACTGGTTTATGTGTAGGTTCAGGTTCATACGTTGTTGGTGAAGATATGAGAGGCGAGAGTGAACCAAACCATCATTAGTCAGTACTTTTGTAACCATTTTCATGTTTTCAACAATTGTGTTGTGGATTTTTTAAGTATGGAATTCAAATATTATCTAAACTTTATTTATGAGCTAATTTTGTTATCTATGGGTATTACACCCAGTACGGGCAGTACTTCAATCCGGAATGGATGGTATATAACTATATACACTTTGATAGTGGCCCTAGCCATCAAAATTGACGAGCTCCCTTCAGATATAAAACAAGAAGAAAACACTCTCCTGCTAAAATGGCCTAAAGCATGATGTACTCCATTAGCACTCCTGTGACATTTTGTGACTTTGAAGTCTTGAAAACAACTCAACATTTCTTTTGCCTGCTCAATGATGATGCAACTAGGGGACCGATTTGGAATATTGTAGTTGAGCGCTTGTACAGTAGCCAGGCAGTCAGATTCCCGTCAAAGCCGCTAGATTTTTAGCTCCTTCCACAGAGGAACATAAATGGTCACTGGTCCAGCCTGAGAAAACCACCCCGCTTAGATGATTCCTAGCAACAAAACCCAGGCCTGCCTGTCGTGTGATAGGGTCAAAGCCTGCATCAACATTGAGTTTGATCCATCCTGGAGGTGGAGGTGTCCAAGGGTACCTTTTCTGGATTGTTGTTTGATCATTCTGTTTCAGGAAATCTGAATTTGAAGTACACAGATTTTTCCCTTTAGCATTAACTGGATGTGCTGTGTCTCCCTCAAGCTTCAGAGAACGAAGATAATTTTCCAGAAAAAATACAGAAACAGAGATGGGGCATTGGCCAATCCCAAACACATTATCATTCCTGTGGTGCCAGATTCTCCAGAACAACAGCATCAATTTAACTCTGATGTCTTTGTTGGCGCTATTAAGAAGAGCAAGAATCCAATCGGGTCCTGTATAAGTGAAGGCTGAATCTTCAGGGAGGTTCCATGACTGACGTAAAGCATGTCTAAGTGCAGCGCCGATGCAAAAGTGCAGCGAACCATGGCGTGATGACCATCTTCAGGTTCCATACCACAAATTAGGTAGGTTGCATCATATATAAGGTGGTGGCGCAGCCTGTTTGATTGGACCCCCAAACCATTATGGGCTAGTTTCCAAATAAAATTTTTTACCTTTTGTGGCACC